TTAAAAATATTATCAGATAATACTAATAAACTTAATAATTATGTGCATACTATAAGATTTTTTATGTCAATGTAATTCTGTTTATTATTTTTATTATGGATTTTTTTACATTGTTAATTTTTTGACAGTAAATAATTTACCCCCTCAGGTGTGATCACTCCCTCACATAGTTCTCCCACCAATGAAGCACCCTAATCCATCACCATGGATCCTTGTGCTCTTTCTATTCCCCTGTTTTTATTTTCCCCTTCCCCTCCTGAATGCCTCAGACCTATGATCAAATTTCAAAATTTATTGTTGACCCTTTGTTTGGCTTCTCTATATTCCACATGTAAGTGACACCATGCAATATTTCTTTTTTTCCTTCTGATTTATCTTGCTTAGCACAATCCCTTCCAGTTCCATCCATGTTGCCTCAAATGTCATGAGTTTATCTTTTTTGAATGCTGAGGTATTCATTTGTGTATATAGACCACTTCCTGATCCATTCATCTGTTTGGGGGCATTGAGGTTGTTTCCATAACTTGGCTGTTGTAAATAGTGCTGCATTAAACATAGGAGTGCAGATTTCCTTTTGAATTAGTGTTTTTATGTTCTTTGGGCAGATTCCTAGAAGTGGAATAGTTGGGTCATATGGCAAATCCATTGTTTTAAGGAATCTCCACCCAGCTTTCCTTAGTGGCTGGATCAGCTACAGTCCCTGCAGTTGTGTAAGAGAGTTTCTTTTTTTTATTGTTTCTGGGTTTTTTTGTTTGTTTGTTTGTTTTGTTTTTAATATGGCCCATTCTCATAGATGTGAGGTGGTATCTCATTGTGGTTTTGATTTGCATTTCCCTGATAAGGTGTCATGAACTTTTTTCATATACCTGTCTTTGGAGAAGTGCCTATTTAGCTTTTTTGCCCATTTTTCATTGGGTTGTTTGTTTTCTTTTTGTTAAGTTGTGTGAGTTCTTTATAGATCTTCATTTTCAGTCTCTTATCAGATGTATGGTGTGCTAATATATTCTCCCATTCACTAGGGTGTCTCTTCATTTTGGTTACTGTCCCTTTTGCTATACAAAAGCTTTTTGGTTTGATGTAATTCCAATTGTTTATATTCTCCTTTGTGTTCTATGCTTCTGGAGATGAATTCTCAAAGTATTTCTGAAATTTATGTCATGTAATGTTTTACCTGTTTTCATCTATATATTTTGTGGTTTCAGGTATAACATCCAAGTCTTTTATCCACTTTGAGTTAATTTTTGCATATGGTGTGAGATAATAGTCTAATTTCATTCTTGAGTATGTGGCAGTCCTGTTTTCCCACAGTATTTGTTGAAGAGACTGTCCTTGATCCAGTGTATATTCTCTGCACCTTTTTCATAGAATTGTTGACCATATATGTGTGGTTTAATTTCTGGACTTCCAATTCTGTTACATTGGTCTGAGTTTCTGTTTAATGGCTTAGAATGGTCTTTTTTCCCTTTAAACATTTTGATTAACCTCAAATTTTCTTTATGATTTCAATGAAGTATATCACACAAAAGTGACTCTTTTGAAATATCCTGACTTTCCTTGATATCCATACAAAACAATTGAACAATTTTGGATCTAGGATTTCCTAAATCATAAGTCTCAGTCAGCATATTCTGATTTGGGGTGAAAACATATTTCTGTGCCTAATACTTTACTGAGAAGAGCATTAAAAGTAAAAGACAAGTGATGAATGTTCCCTTTTTCCTATATTTTTATAACTCAGTTGGAAATGATAAATTGACTAGCTTATTGATTTTAGAAATGATCAGCAATATTACTTTTCCTAAGGAATATTAAGAAGATTCATAACAGATATGAAGCTTGATTTCTCTCTTCCTGTGTAAACATATATACATTTGCAAGTTTGACTTCAAATTTCTACCTTGAAAACATCGCCTTACGTAGACAAGGGATCTAAACTGTAATTTTCCAAGAATTTAGTTACTGCCTTATTGCATATAATTTATATGGATAGAGAAGCAATGAGTGCATTATTGGCTGACTTAGAGCTGGGTTAAAATGCCCTATCTGCCTTTTTCTGACTGTCAGTTTTCAAAATTACATAATCTATGTCGTGTTTCTACATTTATATAAAGGGGGTAACTGCTAACCTCTAAGGTGTGGGTAAGGATTAAATGTTTATATATGTAAAACTCTTGCAACAGTGCCTGGCAAATAGTGTTAATTGCTAGTAAGTGTTAGATAGTATTATTATTATATCACTTCTCTATTTGAATTCTTGTTTATATCATGAAGCCAATTCCTATTTCTATTTCAATTTCTTCCCATTAAAATTTGTTTCCCAAACTTTAGTCATCCACATACTACATTTGTGGGGTTTTCCATATTTGATACAACATATTACTATTTAATTATATTATTTATACTTAGGTTAACTTATCACTACTTAACAGTGAGATTTTCTACAGAAATTTTCTGTGTTCTCTGCAAGTATAAAATTGATCCAACAACAACAAAAATATCCTAAATAAAATGAAGTGGGTTTTCCTGGTCTATAACTGGCTTTTCTCCTCTTGGTATTTTAAGGTCCAAATTCTTCCACTTTTCACCTCCATCCTCCTGTAGGGCTCCCTCCACGTGTACTCCCAGGAATGTAGGGGGGACTATGGAGTGTGGAGGAGAAGCACCAACGGGATGCATAACAGCTTTGGTCAGGGAGCAGTTCTCCTTGTTTCTGCTCACATTCCATTGGTTTAAATGAATCACATGGTCTCTCCTAACTACATGGAAGCCTGAGAAAAGTTCTGTAGATGTGTGTCAAGGGAGAGAGAACAGAATTTTGGTGATCAACCATACGTCTCCGCCATAGTTCTCCCTCCCCTATACATACTAGTTTTATACTTGTCATGTAGTGGTTAGAAAAATATCCATCCCATCCCCAAAGGAGGCCCTCAAAGTTTCATTCAGTGACTCTATGAAGCTCCAATTCTGGAGGATCTGGTGAAATATAGCTGCCTGATTAGACTCAGTTTCTTTACAGGGGAGTTAAATGTTTACAATTTGAAATACACGCTATCTGCCATCACGTGAAATAGGTCATGCTAGAGCAAGGACTTAATAACTGGAAAAACGAACAAACCACAGACCCTGTAATGGAAAGAATGGTAAACAGTCAGTCATCACTGGAATAAAGTTGCCATTAAATCCTGCTGGATAAGTCCTGTAAGAGCTCTGCCCTGACAGTGGAGAGACAGTTTCTCGCTTTTTTGCTCCTTCGTCCTGGGAGAATTTCCCATGTTCATTGTTTTTCGGGACTTCTGTTTCTACTTCTGGCAGGCTCTCCTTTCTGCTTTATCCTCCATAGGCCACATCTGAAGTGGACATTGAGGGAATGTCCTCCTTGGAGGATATACTGCATTTATAATTCAGTTTTTATGGTGCAAATATGGAGATCAAGGGTCATATGGAATCATCAAATTTTTAGCACATCATTCTGGTTTTCTCTGGTAATTCAATTTCCTCAAATTTAGGAGGCACTGATCCTAATTCCTTTAGTCAGTTACATGCGTCAGTAATCAGAACCAAAGGCACCCAAAGTTCTTTACTAGACATAGTACTAAGACCTATTTTGTTTAATTGTTCACCTCTCTCTCTCTCTCTCTTTCTCTCTCTCTCTCTCTCTCTCTGTCTCTCTCCCCCTTTCCTGATCATCCCTCCCCATCTCTCTGGGTCCTTCATATAAAATACTGGAAAATCTCAATTTAATGAAATAGCATTATTTATGAGCTTCAATTTATCAAATAATGTGAAATTTAATTATTAGTTCCTTTTTTATTTTATTATAGCATTTGTCAATAATGCTTCTTTAGAAGAAAGAATAATGAGACATTTAAAGAAATTTGTTCTAAAATCACTTGTCATATGATTATTGTATATTTAAATACTTATGAATAATAGAAGACATGAAAATCAATAAAAGTTACTTTGAAAAAGTTGAACTCAAGTTATAGCATATACATTTGTGTTTCAATATTAAATATTTTGTTCCAGTCACTATTATAATATTGCAAATCACCTTAAGTACAGATAATTAAACAAGTATTCTTTTATGCATATATAATCTGGAAAAAATTTCAGACAAAGCCAAGTGGGAACAGCTTGTCTCTACTGCAAAATGTTTGAGACCTCTGGTGCAGGACCATGATGTACTCAATAATTGGGAGAGGGTGTGATTAGTAGATATTTTAATTCTTTTTTTAATCATTCTTTTTTTAAAGATTTATTTATTTATGCATGCAAGAACTGGAGTACAGGCCAGAGGGGTGCGGGGTGAGAGGATGCACCAGAGACAGAGTAGGGAGCAGAACTAGCAGACTGATTGAAATACACTGCTGAGAGGAGCAGTGGGCAAGCAAAGAGAGGTCTGCTATGCCATATGGATATCTCCCTGGCTGGCCGGGTACCACATTCATGCTGCAGAGGCTGCAGATAGCTTCAGTGCTATGCTCAACCCTTTGTGCTACCACGGAGGCCCAATATTTTGATTCTTAAGATTGGTGGTTAATACTGTTTGTCTGCTGACAGCTCAGCTAGTCTGTCTGAAAGAAAACCTATGAAGCTTCTCACTGTGGTTATTTTGAGTGTGTTGACTTGGACTTAATCACAACATGGTGAGCATTTTACAAATGTGAGGACTCTAAAAGAACAGGGGAGATGTACTAATGCTCTGATTCTCTTAAGTCAGATGGTGTCCCTTCTGCCATACATTTTGGTGGAAGCAAGTATAAGGATATGCCCAGGTTCAAAATGGAAGTACATAGACCCTACCACTTAAATGGAGGGGTGCCAAGACTAAACAATAAGAGGACTATATGAATTATGAGATATTGTTGAAGTCTGCTAAGTTTGAAAATACATTTTATTCAAATTCATCCAGGTCCAAAGCAATTCCTTCTGATTTTATTTCTGCCTATTCACCTTCTTGAATGATTCTTAATATGGTTATTTTACTTTTATTTTTTCAGATATCTCGGCATAGAAGGAATCATTCACAGCATGTTCTGAAAGATATCATCACTCCACTGGAACAATTGGTAAGTGATCATTTCATTCCAGTACTATACTATAAAGTAAATTCTCCCAAAACTCAACAAACTAGAAAAGAACACATTAAATGATATTATGTTTCTGTAGGTCGGGCAGTCAAACATAATCCAACAGAGTCCTCTAACTCAGAGTCTACCATTGCAATCAAGGTTTAAGCCAGAATTGGGGTCATATATGAAAGCTTGACTGAGAAGGATCTGCATGTTTGTTGGGTTCAGTTCCTGTTTCCAGACACTGTTCCTAGCTCCTTTCCACATGGGCTACTCCAACACAAATGCTTGCTCCTCAAAAGCATGCAAGTTGAGAAGGTTAAAGAGTCTCCTGTAAGACAGAAGTTGAAATCACTTGCAACATAATCTTAGAAGTGATATCCCTTCAAATTTGCCATGGTCTCTTGGTCAGAGGAAGTTAAACTGAAGAAGGGATTAAATAAGGCCATACTAAGAGGAAGTAGGAATCACTGGGAGCCTATTGCAAATGTTGACAATGAAAAGCCAGCCCTTTATCAATAGATTCTAAATTCATATGACCATAGGGAGGTTTTTCCCTCCATTTTTATTTATGGTTCTAATGACTAGGAAGAATACCTGAAACATTGTAAATAATGTGAATGAAGAAAATGGTAGAGATTTCTTAAAAACACTGATATATGATAATACTTTTTTCTGCTGATGACCCTCTTTTGGCAAATATAACCAGTTTTCTCTTGCTTCTCCCTCCTGCTATATTTCACATTGGTAAATATGTTTTCAATCACATTCCTTACAGGATAAAGCACAGGGATGACTTTATTCCTATTTGTTTCCTACTACTTTATGTCTATTTTCTTTGGGCTTTCTTATCCTCAACACAAAGATAGTTTCTTTTCTTGATTCAGTTCTCTCATTTTCTTTTGCTTCGTGTGTTCTAGATCACCAGTCCAGCTATTATTGACTGACTCTGCTTTGCTTTACAACACAAATGTCTTTAAAATATTGTCTACTTTTACTGTCCCTAGTTTCTCCCCCTCCTTTATCTCTTTTTTTTTTTAAAGATTTATTTATTTATTCATTTATAAAGCGCTGGATACAGTCAGAAGCGCGGGAGGGTGAGAGAATTCACCAGAGCTAGAGCGGGGAAGAGCAGGGAGCAGAGCAGGCAGAAGGACTGAAGTACACTGCTGAGGGGAGCAGCGAGCGAAAGGAGAGGTCTGCTCGCCATGTGGGACCCTCCTCCGGTGGCCGGGGAGCAGCCGGGGATCGAACCAGCGCTGCAGAGGCTGCGGGCACCTTCGCAACCCAGCGCTCAACCGCTGCGCCACCAGGGAGGCCCTCTCCTTTATCTCTTGAACTAGTTCCATTTAGTCTTTTATCCCAGCCACTCACCTACTATCAAAGTCAGTAGTTGCTGGGGCCTCCCTGGTGGGGCAAGGGGTTAAGACATAGCATTATGAAGCTATCTGCAGCCACTACAGCATGAGTTCAATCCCCGGCCAGATTGGTGACCCACATGGATAGCAGACCTCTCCTGTCTCGCCTGCTGCTCCCCTCAGCAGTGTATTTCAGTAGATCTGTCTGTTCTGCTCCCCACTCTGTCTCTGGTGAATCCTCTCACCCCCCACCCCCGCAATTCTAGACTGCATCCCAGCTCTTGTATGCATAAATAAATAAATATTTTTTAAAAAGTCAGTAATTGCTTTCATATTGCTAAGTACAGTGGTAAAATCTTAATTAGCTCCTTAAATAATTTGAGAATTGAACCCAACTTATAACTTCTTTTTGAAACCTTTTGCTCAAATGCTATCAGTAAACACCTTTCCATTTAATTAAATTGTCACCCCTTTCTGTCTCTTTTGGTGGTTTATCCTCATGTTAGAGCTCAGTTCTTACCTTTTCTTTTTTCTCTCTGTCGTTATTCCCTAGTGCATCTTATTTAGTGTTATGATATTATATACCATGTTATACTAATTCCTTCTAGATTTCTTTTTTTTTTTTTAAGATTTTATTCATTTATTTATACAAGCACTGGGCACAGTCAGAAGCGCGGGAGGGTGAGAGAATTCACCAGAGCCAGAGTGGGGAGCAGAACAGGCAGATGATGAAATACACTGCTGAGGGGAGCAGCAGGCGCGGCAGGAGAGGTCTGTTTCACCATGTGGGACCCTCGCCGGCGACCCGGGATCGAACCAGTGCTGCAGAGGCTACGGGCAGCTTTGCAGCCTAACACTCAACTGCTTTGCCACCAGGGGAGCCCCTCCTTCTAGATTTCTATCTCTAGTATAAGCAAATGTTCAAAATTTGTAGTCTTGTATATTGTGACACTGTCCTAATATATTTCCAACATACATCTCAAGCTTAATACATCCTAAACTGATCCTGGATTTTCACCCTGACCTCCTTTCCCCACTCTTTTCCATTAAACAAGATGCCAACACCATTCTTTCAGGTGCTTCAACAAAAATTCTCGAAGTCATTTTTTGCTCCTTTGTTCCTTTCATAAGATAAACTGAAAAGTCAAACCTTGTTTGCGTTATCTGCAAAATACATCCAGAATCAGTTCTCCTCTCACTAATTTTGTATCATGTCATTCCATGGCTCAAATTCCTCACTGACTTCCTCTGTCTCTCATATTAAACACTGAAAATGTCCAAGATTCAACACATCCTGGAGGACCAAGTCACTGTTCTGGCCTCACTTCTCCTTCTCTTCTGACTCACTCTGCTTCACCCAGCTGGCCTTATGCTCCACAGGGTCATCTTCCTTCTCTTTCCTCTGCCAGGTACAAAATAATTCATGTGATGCCCAGAAATTCATTTGATGAATCTCTGTTTAAATATCATCTTTTAGGGCCTCCCCGGTGGCGCAGCGGTTGAGCGCTGGGTTGCTAAGCTGCCCGCAGCCTCTGCAGCTCTGGTTCGATCCCCGGCTGCTCCCCGGCCACCGGAGGAGGGTCCCACAAGGCGCGCAGACCTCTCCTGCCGCCCGCTGCTCCCCTCAGCAGTGTACTTTGGTCCTTCTGCCTGCTCTGCTCCCCGCTCTGGCGCTGGTGAATTCTCTCACCCTCCTGCGCTTCTGACTGTACCCAGTGCATGTGTAAACAAAAAAACAAACAAACAAACAAATAAATGAATAAATGTATAAAACATGCCTCTAAAAAAAAAATAAAAAAATAAATATCATCTTTTAAAGGTGTCTTTATTAATCTCCCTTAAAAACAAACCACAAGATCCACCACTTTCAAATATATTCCTCTCTTTCCCCATTTTAATTATCTCCAGATAGCTTACTGCTCCACGACATACCATATGATTTATTTCCATTTGCTTATCATTTCATTAAAATGATGTGTGAGTACAGGGGTATTATCTCTGATGTTCATAACTCTATTCTGTGATTATAACAATTATTTGTACATGGTAAGAACTCAGTAAGTACTTGTTAAATGAATGTACAAATCAAAGAGTTAATGACTTTTGTTCTTACTTCTGAGTTTATAATACACAGATCTAAACTTGCATGCTTTCATGCTTTATTTCATTCTATATCTTTAAGTTCTAGATCGTCATTTGTTCTAGTACGTCATGTTGTCATCTCAGAAGTGAAATCTCCCAATTTAAATCCACCATCACCATCTTTCTAAACTGATTCTCTTTTCCATTGGATTTATTATTAGCAAATGTATATCCAAGCTCAGATCATTTTCTGAACTTTCCCCCACAACTCTTATTTATGAATTACTCCATTATGATGAGTACTGCAAAATAATTACGTTTTCCCAAACAATAAATTTTGATTAATTTTTAACTATCCTTTACCATTTATATCAAGGCCTGGATCTTTTTCCAGAACATATAAAGTTTTCTTCACATTGCACTAATTTAGCCTTATGCATGCTAGATATACATTCCTTTTTTTTTTTTTTCAACAAATCTGTCATTTTGTTTGCTTTCATCTCTCCAATGTTCCTTGTTATTTCCAGAGTCACCCATAGGTTCTTGCTTTAGTTTCTTTTGGTACTATCTACTATACCCTTGATACCACACATAAATGATGTATATTAAAAAACTTTAAAGAATAATACAAGTCTTTTAAGCTCATGTTGTTCATTATTATTTTTGCCATATAAATCCTGAAGCTATTTTTTTCAACAATTTGTGCTATAGAAATCTTATTTACTTTATCTCTCATATTCAGAACTTCCCTGAACATTTTCCAGGAATTATGAGAGATTTTGGCTTTAGAAATAATTGGCAAATGTATCTCATTAGATCCACCCCCTTTGGAGGAAAATGCTTCTCATTCCAAATAGAATCTGTCATTGTGGGTACTCCAATAGATGATATCACCATTGTTAGGCATGCTTTACATCTCAATGTTCCCTTTAATAAGGTAGATTGTAATCAATGTAGTTAAACAGACAAATAATGGATTTATTTTGAATTTTGGCAAAAATATACCCCTAATTGGACACTATAATCTCATGGTGGAAACTACCCAGTACATTGACAGGTGACACCATTTATGTCACACGGCATGTAAATCCACAGGGCAAGAGAACTAAATCATTTTCTGAGAATCTGTGTGATTGCTTAACAAGTGCTGTAATGCAGTGAAAATTTTAGAATTGAAATGTTAAATATACTAATATGCATTTGTTTCCTGCTCTTGTATATTCCAATTTATAGTTGTTTATGAGACCTAATTGTTTTCAGGGCACTTTCCCTTTTTCTCCTAAAGAAACATTCAAGAACAGCCCTGTTTATAACATGTTAATCTTGATCTTCTTTATTTTTTATCAAAAGAGTATGAGACATGTCTATGGATAACCCTGCAGGAGTCAAAAGCCTGTGGCAGGTTTTAGAGAATCATCTGCTACCTCCTGAGCTCAGAGGATTTGGAGGACAGAACTCAGGAAGTTGCCATGGCTTGGAGGCAAAGCAGGCTTTTGCAGATAAACCTTAAGTCACAGATTCTACCTTTTGGAGCCAGATATCATTTTGTGGATTAAT